GGGGGGCAGGGAGGCCCCCAGCCTCGCGTCGCCGCTGCCGCACGGAGCCTTACTTGTAAATGGAGACGTGAGGGGACAACGGGCGGCTGGATTTGGTGTTTTTCTCCCAGAAACGAGCCATCTCCTCCTTGGCTGTGGTGGCCATGGGGACGACGCTGCGAAAAGAGGGGAGGGCGGCGCTCAGCAGCGCCAGGAGGGGCGGCGGATCAGAGAGCAGCTGACAGCGGGAACCAAAGCAGGGCTCTGTAACTCGAGGTGCCCGAGATCCCGCTGCTCCCAGCCCAACCGAGCAGAAAAGCAGCAGGAAAGCAGCGTTTCTCCTTCAGCCCAGCAGCGCAGGGGGTGGCAATGGGATTTCCTGCAGCTCCCGGCCCTCCTCAGGCTCAGCAACGCTGCTGCCCCACTGAGGGTAAAGGCAGCAGGCAGCCAAGACGTGGGGCAGAACGAGGGGATGGGATCCCAAGGGGGAAAGTGAATCCATTGCTCCCCACAGCGCCCCACACTCACTGGTGCACCGAGGGGCCGAGCCGGGCCAGCAGGCAGCGCCGAGAGACGCATCTGTAAGAGAGGAGAGGGAGAAGCTGTCAGTGGCACAGAGATGCAGGAAACGCCGCTGTTGTGGGGCCAAAATGCGGCTCTGTGGTGCTTGGGGTCCTAAAATCGGGCTGCATGGGAGAGGATACGGCTCTGAGTCTGGTCACAAATCAGCCTGGGCAGCACGAGAGAGTGGGGGGCAGCCAGACCCACAGGCAGGGGGCTGGGAGGTGTCAGCGGAGCCAAGCAAGCTGGGATTCTGTGACCCTCCCTCATATAAAAGGAAAAAACTCCCTGCTCTTTGCTGAGGCCTCCAGGCTGAGCCCACAGCCCGCCTCTGCCCCACATCCAGCAGCTCCCTGTTACATGGCACCCAGCCTCACAGCCCCCCCACCTCACAGCCCCCCACCTCGCAGCCCCCCCCACCTCACAGCCCCAACCAGGCAGTGCCCCCTCCCTGCAGCCACAACCAGGGATGGGGACGCATCCCAACCCCCCCCCCCGTTCCCCTGGATGCCCCCCAGGCTCTCATCCATCACAGCCACGCAGGTCGGCTGTCGCCACGTTTCAGCTGAGAGCAGAGGCACAAAAAAAGAACAGAGCAGAGGAGTGGGAGCCGCTGGGCATGGAGCAAAGCAGCGATTGTGAGGGCACCGCAGGGCAGCTCTCCAGGAGCCGCCGCAGCCCCCAGGCTGGCGCAGCTCGAAGGCTTGCAGATGTGGGTTGGAATGAAGGACAAAGGAGGAGGCGTGGAGAAGCTCTGGGGTCGTTCATCCAACTGCTGCCCCGCTGCAGGGTTGGCAGCGGTGGAAAAGCGAAGCTCTGCCGCCCTTTGCCTTCCTGCGGCCACACAGAAGCTGCCCTGCTGTCACAGCTGCTCTGTCTCCTCCATAAGGAAGCCCTGAGGAGCTCCCCTGTACCACAGCACCCTTAGGATGCTTCCTTTCCACGGCCTCCCCTGGCAGCACAACCTCCCAACGCAGACCCACCATTGGGCACCAAAGATCCCCCCTCCCCAACCCCAAATCCCAGCCCCCCGACCCCCACCTGAGCTCCCCTCCCTCCCCTGCCCCCTTCGCTGCTGACTGGAAGCTGTTTGCTTCCCCATCCCCACCACCTCTTCTCATCCCGCAGGAACAACGACGCCTCTGTGTTTGAAGGCTCTGAGCAGAGTCACAGCAGAGCCGAGCTGCCACCTCTGCCTGCAGGCCCCCCGTTGCCCCCATCCTCAACCCTCCTCCCTCAGCTCCCCTCCCTCAGAAGCTGCAGACAGGAGCACAGACCCACATGAGATCCCAGCCCAGAACAGAGCCCCCAGCTGCACCCCCCCCC